ACTGAATGTCACATGAGAATTAATCAACACACATATAAAGAAAGATAAAGTATACATGCACACAGATTGTATGTGTGTTCATGGTAGCTTATGAACAGGGCTAGTCTACAGCAGCTGTACCAAACTTTGGGAGGCAGAAGTCCAAGTTCACAGGCAGATCAAGCATTGGGGTCAATGCCTCTAAATGCAGTAAAGACCACAGGACACTTTGCATTTTACTCTAAACGCTTCAACCTGTACCAAGAGCCATGCCAAGAGTGGCAGACTCTAATCTGAAGAACTGGAATTGATTCCCCACTCCTCCACATGAAGCCTGCTGGGTGACCTTCAGCCAGTCACAGTTCTCTCAGCCCCACCTGCCTCACAAGATGCCTGTTGTGGGGAGGGAAGGGAAAGCCACTTTGAGACTCCACAAGGCAGAGAAAAGCAAGGTATAAAAATCAACTCTTCATCTACACCAGCCAAATTAAAGAAAGCTGAACCCAAAAGGTGGCTCAAGGCACTTGAAAGGCCAGCAGATGAATTAAAATGGTGCATACAAACAAACTCAAAAAGGTGAAAAAACAGTAGCACATCCTCACAACAAGCCTAGGATCTGGCTTTCAACAGTATACACATCAATCAGTCAGCTTGCCTTTAAGTTGCCACAAGATTCATGTTTGGCTCAGGTTTAGATGTTAAAACTGCTTTTAAAATAAGTATTCCATTTTAAAAGGAAAAGCATTCCCCATCTCTCCAACTGCTTTTAATCCCTTCAAGTGCACTGCAGAGATACAAAAACAATCCTTAAAAGAGGTCTACTTTGAAGTAAGTCCCATTTTACTGAAGGGGGCTTACTGCCAGGAAAGAATTTTAAGGATTGCAACTTAAGTTTCCCAAAGCAGCCAGAAAGAGCATGAGCCCTCATCAGCCCCATCTGAGCGTCGACCTGCTCTCATGGTCCTTCCTGGCTGGTGCATTTGGTGCAGGAAGCAGCGCCTGCCCTCGTGCAACTGATTTTTGCAGCCCTCCCCCCAAGGTCCAAACCTGGCACAGAAAAGAGAACTCGCAGGGGCGCAATTAAGCGCAGGCCAACCTTAGAGAAGTCAACGAGGGCGAACCTACTTTCTCCACCTCCCTGGCTCTTACGCACTTACCCTGTTTCCCCGAAAATAAGACCTACCCAAAAAATAAGCCCTAGAAGGATTTCTATGCATTTGTGGTATAAGCCCTAGTGTGTCTTCTTGAGAAAAAATAAATATAAGACAGTGTCTTATTTTGGGGAAAACATGGTACACCTCTTCCCCCTCACAGTTGCCAGAGAAAATAAACATTCTCCCACTGCCTTCGCAGACTCTGGCCCAAACCATCCACCTGAGGGGCGGCACCAGAGACATGTTTGCAGGGCGGGGGGGGGGGAGTTTCCAAAGCCGCCGCCGCTCTCTGCCTGCCTCCCACTCCCTCAATCCCATCCCCAGCTCACAAGTAGTGGGTAGTGAAGGGCAGAGTATAAATCTAATCTCTTCTTCTTCTAGCAGGCAGTTCTGCGCCCCGTGAAGTCTCCGCCCCTAGGTGGGCGCCTAACTTTGCCTAATGATAGCACCAGCTGCGATGTCATGGATACATCATAAGAAGTAATATCACATGTTTCTGCCTCAAAAACTCCTGGGGCTGGCAACCCTACCCTCTCGCTTAACAGCCTCCCCCCATTTTAACTGCCTCTCTCATAACATCTCTTTCTCTTAGTTCCTGTTTTTTATTTCCCCCAGCCTTCCTCACCACTTGCTCTGTTAGGGTTGCCAAGTGTGAATTCAGCCGCAGCGGGGGACTCCCGGCTGGAGCGCATGCCGCATCCATATCGCCCGGAAGTGACGCGGGCATGCCAGGCACGCTGCCGGGGGGGGGGGCGATCCGAGGGAAAACCATAGAGTTTTCCCTCGGATGACCGTGGCCCCGCCCCCAGCGTGCCCGGCATGCCCGTGTCACTTCCGGGCGATGTGCACGTCGGGGTGGAGTTCCCCCCGGGGCCCGATCCACTCCCGGTGGGAAACGGGCCTCTGGGGCGGGGTTCCCTCCCCCGGGGGGACTTGGCAAGCCTATGCTCTATGCACTGCTGCTGCTTTCTTCAAAGGTGCAGTGAGGTGGGAGTTGACTAGGCCCAGGGACTACTGCCTTAGTTGCTAGGCAACCCTACAATGCTAGCTGTGATCTCACTAGTTTTTGTGACATCTCAGTCAGCATTCTTCATTTGGGGGAAATTTTAACACCCTCTCATAATTTTTAAAACTTTATATTTTTCTCCAAGCCTGGGGAGTCTGTAGACAAATGTCCCCTATCTGTACATAGCCTTATATTGTATTTTTGTTGCATATATTTTGGCTAAATTCTAAATTAAATACAACAAGAGGGGAACCTGTGAGAACATTTAGAAGAGAGGGTATCCTATTCCCCGCCACCACCACCTTCACTTCCTCCCCTATTGTTCATCCCCTTCCCTGTTGTTACCCTTTTATTTTCAGTTGGTCCCTCAGTCAGCTTTCTTAGTGGGCAGATGTTTCAGCCAGAATTCATGCAGGACAACAAGTGAACAATGTGCCCTGTGCTCTAAGCCCCTGCTGTTGCAGATTGCCTGACAGTACTGGGTTGAAGGGGGGGGGGGACTCAGGCCCAAACACCCCATCAGCTGAGTGGCAAGCTGTGGTAAGGAGCCCGGGGGCAGGGCCCATGTCACATCCTGGGCTACCAACTCATGCTTCTGTGATCTGCCTGGAAGGGGGGGGGCAGAGTTCTGGGTGGCCTCAGAGCTCTTGTGTCAAGTCTGGCCCACCCCCTTCCCTATTTTCCTGGGCTGTGTCAGGCCCCTCACCCTGAGTTGCTTCTGGAAGCAGTGGCAGAGACACAGAGCCTTTTTCTTCACCAGCTCTCTGCTGCCACCTCCTGCTTGGAGCTGCGGGGTGTGTGCGTGTGCGTATCTCGGCTCTTGCCCCCATCTCTTCTCTCTTGCCAGCAAAGTCTCTCTCTCATGCCTGGCTCGTGGGGACTGCTTCCGCCGCCCCCCTTCCCCCTTGCCCACAACACCCCCACTTCTGCATGCCTGGCTCATGTGGTAACTCCAGCTCTCCCCCCACCTGCCTGGCACATGCAGTACCAGCTCCTGCTCTTCCCTCCTGCCCTGCCCACCTGGCTTAGGCAGTAGGAGTGGCTTCCACTTTTGCTCCAATGCCCACCGCATAACCACCCCAAGGGGGTGCTTCTGTATGTTGTCTGCACAAATGCACACCACATCCCTCTCTGGCAGAGATCCCCTCCTGAAAAGTCCTTAGACATACTCGTGATTTCAGCTCTAAGACTTTTTATTTGGAAAGAACAAGACAAAGTAGCCGGCTCGCAGGCCGGCTTATATGCCCCAAGGAAAACACACCCAACACCCGTGAATGGTCTATCTACAGTGGTTAGATTATTCCTAGGGACCCTAGGTTCCCGATTGGCAGGGAACTAGGATCCGAACGTCTATTGTGTTCGGGAGCAAAGCTCAGGTACTTCACCTGACCGCATGCGGAACCAGCCGAAAATGGATCATGCACATGGCTGGGTCAGGACACAGCACCTCCTTTTTTTTTTTTTGCGGGGGTTCACTTTTTCTGCAAACCTGGGGGGACTATCAGGTTTGCAGAAGAATACTCCCTTTTTGAACGTGGCCTCATTCTCTGGGTTTTTCTGTACATATGGGAGCCAGGTTCAGAATTAGATATATGATTATGACAATATTTCATTTGTCAGGTTTGGAATGACTGGACCAGAGGATTTAGTTCATATAGGTTTGTCTTCCTATGCTTGTCACATGATAATAGTTTTGCTATATTGCAGTAGGGAAACCTAATGCGACAGTCCCTAAATATTATGTGTCAGTGGGGAGCAGCAACTATGAACATACTGTACCTAGAGTCATCCACATGCCCCTTTTGGCATTGAAGCTATGTTTTTCATACAGCAAAGGCTGAAAGGCAAGCCACATTGTATGTACTCTCTGCCTCATGTCTATACTACTTTAAAGTACAAGAAAAGAAGTCCTTTCAGTCCCTATGTACCCTGTTCAAGTTTTCTCCCTGATGCATCTTGAAGCCATTTGCCTATCTTGGCTTTATGCAGTAAGTGAATCAACAGTTGAGGTACATAATGGAAGAATTCTGACAGGGGCCTCTGTTGCAGTTCACCCTGGAGGAGGAATTTAAAGAGGCCTTTTCCTGTGCCTGATGTAGTAGATAGAAAGTAACAGAAGAATTCCACAAAAGCCTCTGTAAGGAACAGATTAGCCTGTGTATGATTGCATACCCTGTTTCCCCGAAAATAAGACCTACCCCAAAAATACGCCCTAGCAGGATTTCTATGCATTTGTGGTATATGCCCTAGTGTGTCTTCTTGAGAAAAAATAAATATAAGACAGTGTCTTATTTTCGGGGAAACACGGTAGAAGAAAGCACTGAAATATATCATAAGGACAGAACTGGAAGTATGAGGTGAATTTTTGCCTCTCAGGTCATTTGCAGGAGTGAAAATGGGAGGGAGTGATTTTCACTGATTTACCACTCACACTACAAACCCCCCTCCCCACTTTACCTCCCATGCTGTTCTCTAGGGTCCTCCAACCCTTGGGAAGGTACAAAAGCCTGCAGCAGGAGAGAGGGAGTTTCCACATGTGCTGCCCTGTTCATGCTTGATAGGGTCTACTCCATAGTTGAGCGCCAGATGGAACCCCCCAACAGTCCAAACTGAGTCACTGAATTTCCAGCTACCAGTTCTATGTAGGTTACTCATTAGTTTAAACCTCCCTTCCTTAGGTGACAGAATGGTGGTCTGGTCATTAAGTTCCGTCAGTTTCCTGCACATTGGAAAGCGATGTTATTATATAACAATGTTGGGTATTTTATTGTCTTTTCCATTATATTCTTCATCTTTTTAAAGCTACAATGGCTGATTTTCCTGTTTTTAAGGGTTCTCCCCCCACCCCTCTGATTTGACAGGTGCTGAGGATGTTGTAGCAATAATGATTCCTGAGCCGAAGGGGAAAGAGATAGTCAGCTTGCTAGAGCGGAATGTTACTGTGATGATGTACATCACCATTGGAACCCGTAACCTGCAGAAGTATGTCAGCCGTACCTCAGTGGTATTTGTCTCCATCTCCTTTATTGTGCTGATGATCATCTCCCTGGCATGGCTGGTCTTCTACTATATTCAGAGATTCCGATATGCAAATGCCAGGGACAGAAACCAGGTGAGTAGCTTTGCAGGTGAGCTCTCTTTTGTGCTTTGTTCCACTTGCTTAGAAGAGGTTAGCATTTTCTGAATGACTCTCGTCAGGTCTGATTCAGATATAGGTGTGCACTTAAGAAGCCCTAGGCATCTAGTTAGCTTTCCTATCTCAGATCATAAGAACATAAAAGAAGCCAATGTTGGATTGGGCCAATGGCCCATCCAGCCCAACACAGTGGCCAGAAATACCAGGTGCCATCAGGAGGTCCAGCAGTGGAGCCAGGACACTAGAAGCCCTCCCACTGTTGCCCCCCCCCAAGTACCAAGAATACAGAGCATCACTTGCCCCAGCCTGAGAGTGGCTAATAGCCACTGATGGACTTCTGCTCCATATGCTTATCTAATTCCCTCTTGAAGCTGTCCATGCTTGTAGCCACCACCACCTCCACCACCACCTCCTGTGGCAGTGAATTCCGTGTGTTAATCACTCTTTGGGTGAAGAAGTATTTCCTTTTATCTGTTCTAACCCGACCGCTCAGCAATTTCATTGAGTGCCCACGAGTTCTTGTATTGTGAGAAAGGGAGAAAAGTACTTCTTTCTCAACCTGCTCTATCCCATGCATAATCTTATAAACCTCGATCATGTCACCCCTCAGCCGTCGTTTCTCCTAGCTCAAGAGCCCCAAGCGTTTTAACCATTCTTCATAGGGAAAGCGTTCCAACCTTTTTATCATTCTAGTTGCCCTTTTATGCACTTTTTCCAATGCTATAATAACCTTTTTGAGGTGTGGTGACCAGAACTGTACACAGTACTCCAAATAAGGTCACACCATTGATTTATACATGGGCATTATGATACTGGCTGATTTGTTTTCAGTTCCCTTCTAATAATCCCCAGCATAGCATTGGCCTTTTTTCTTACAGTTGCACACTGTCTAGACATTTTTATTGAGTTATCTACTACGACTCAAAGATCTCTCTCTTGGTCAGTCTCTGCCAGTTCAGACCCCATCAACGTGTATTTATAGTTAGGATTTTTGGCTCCAATGTGCATCACCTTGCACTTGGCCACATTGAACCCCATTTGCCATGTTGACGCCCAGTTGCCCATACTCGACAGATCCCTTTGGAGTGCCTCACAATCCTCCCTGGTTCTCACCACCCTGAACAACTTCATGTCATCTGCAAATTTAGCCACTTCACTGCTTACTCCCAAGTCCAAATAATTAACAAACAAGTTAAAAAGCATCGGACCGAGTACTGATCCCTGTGGTACCCCACTGCTTACCACCCTCCACTGAGAAAATTGCCCATTTGTACTCACTCTGTGTTTCCTATTAATTAGCCAGTTTTTGATCCACAAGAGGACTTGTCCTTTTATCCCGTGACTATTGAGCTTACTTAGGAGCCTTTGATAGGAACTTTATCAAAAGCTTTCTGGAAGTCAAGGTAAACAACATCTTTTGGGTCCCCCTTGTCCACATGTCTGTTCATTCCCTCCAAAAACACTAACAGGTTAGTGAGACAAGATCTTCCTTTACAGAACCCATGCTGAGTCTGCCTCAGTAGTTTTTGTTCATTAATGTGCCTACTAATTCTTTCCTTAATAACAGTTTCTACCAACTTACCCGGTATCGATGTCAGACTGGCCTGTAATTTCCCGGATCTTCTCTGGAACTCTTTTTAAAGATGGGAGTGACATTATCTGCCTTCCAAGTCCTCAGGAATGGAGGCAGATTTTAATGAAAGATTACATATTTTTGTAAGGAGATCCACAAGTTCACATTTGAGTTCTTTCAGAATTCTCAGATGTATGCCATCTGGGCCTGATGATTTATCAGTTTTTAAGTTGTCTATCAGTTGTAGGACCTCCTCTCTTGTCACTTCAATCTTCAAAATCAGCGGTTCTGGAGTGGGCAAGCACTTATCATCTTCCACAGTGAAGACAGAGGCAAAAAATGTATTCAGCTTCTCAGCCATTTCCCTATCATCCTTCAGTACTCCTTTTACCCCTTGGTCATCCAAGGGCCCCACTGTCTCCCTGGCCAGAGGTATACACCTCACTAACACTTTAGGTTTGTTCTGGGTATAGTAAAATCAATAGTATTACAGAATCTCTGCTTCCATTTTAAGCTTTTTATTAAAGCACAGCCGTTGCATTCTTAACATTGACTAAATCAAAAAAAGCATTGTACCATCCATCATTGTTACATAGATAATTAAAGAACAATGGCATGAGTCTCTAAAGATTTTTTACTCCAAAGGTAAGCAGATCCCAGACAAAGAGCCTCCACTGAAAAAAATCTCTCAATAATTTCAGCTTCCCCTATTTATAAGATTTTAACATCATCTACCAAATAGTTTACTGTTCCACTTGATAAGAGTGAACATACTTGGCTAACTCAATATCTTATAACTTCAAATACCATATTTGGAGGAATACGTTTTTATTTGGAAGTTTGGACTGAGCAAAGCCTTCACTTTTAGTTTTTAGAAGTTTGTCCGTCTCTTGGCAGAGAACAGGCATGGGGGGCGGGGGGAGTCAATTCAATCTCCTTCCAGCTTCACTTCAGCCACCCTTTTGAAATGTTTTTCTGAATATCCTTAGTGGGAGACAATAGGATTGTCAAGTGTACTCTCTCTAGCTAGAAAGGTGCCATCTATCAGAGAACAGAGTTTTGAAGGTTGAAAAACCTAGAGAAGTCTTTTCCTGGAGACTTCAGGAAAATTTTCTTTGACATGCCCTGCCAGGCCCAGAGGATGGGCAAACAGATGATAAAACTCCCTGGCACAGAGAAGAGGCTTTCTTTGTGCTGATTCCATCGAAGCAGATGGAGCTCTGACTCGGGGCCTGCTGAAGATAATCATTGCCATATGGAGGACTGCAGGCCTTAGCCAAGGCTCCAAGGCAATGGGAACCCTTTAGAACAACTGTAATTTTTAAGCTAAGGATGCCTTAGAATAACATCCATTAGGGCATGTACAGAGGGAGGGACAGAGGAATTGTGTGTTTATACTTTCATTTTGGATCCTTTGCTCAATCTGTTGCTGTGCCGAGAGTATGTGTGTTATAATGTTTTATAACTATTAATGCTGGTAGCTGTTCTCTTTACACATAGACCTCCACCATTTGGACATGCTGTTTTAAAATATGCACCAGTGGAAGGGGAGGGCAGTCAGTTGGCAAGTTGCTACTCCTCCAGTGGGTGTGCAAGTACAGTATGCTTTTCCCATGGTAACCAGGCATTGGGTAGTGGGAGACATAGGAATGAGGTGAGGCCTTAGAATAGCAATGGAAAGAAGTTGAGAACCCTGATCCTCTCAGTGGGTAGATCCTACAAAGGCTAGGTGGTATTAGTGGCTGAAATGAAAGAGGGAGAGAAAAGCTCCTCCAAGGGTTGGGAAAGCTAAGTGGGTGGCACATACCAGGCAGAGACCTTGGTCAGCCATCACTGCCCAAATACCCTTGAGGGCAAGACAGAACAGGGCCTGCAGGTCAGTGGGGCTGTTCTGCCACACCATGCTAGGTTATCTATACTTGAAATATAGAATAAATTGAAATTTATTCTTCCTACTTTTTATCTTAATAAAGCCTCTTTAAAAATTGTTCAAGATGGGTAGCTGTATCAGTCTGCTTGTAGCAATAGAAAGCTGCAAGAATCCAGTAGCACCTTAAAGACTTAACAAAATATATGGTAGGGGTTGAGCTTTCATGAGTCACTTCTCAGTTCCTCAGATACAGCATATAGCTGTATACCATATAGCTGTATCTGAAGAAGTGAGCAGTGACTTACGAAAGTTCATACCCTGCCACATATTTTGTTAGTGTTTAAGGTGCTACTGGACTATTGCTCTTTTAAAAATTGTGGTGACAAGTTTTTCATACATATGAATATCTTTTGGCTCTTAATCAACACACCCATCTTTGGTATCTCCACTTCTGTGGATATTTCTGGCCATATCTGTAACACCCTCTCCTTAACTGTCAGACTGGCTGTCTTCCTCCTCTGCATCTGCTATAGCAGACTGCATTTGCCTGAAAATAAAGGTAGCTATTGTGGGCTGGTGACAAGGTGACCCAAATCCACTATGAGTTTCCCAAATAGACCAAAGGCATTTACAATCAGGACTGTGTTCACACCAGGCAATGGGATAATGTTGTTCATGTAATTTTTCTATACATACAAGATCAACTCCTCCTGTGTTACAGTTTGCATCACTGTGTAAAAGAAAACAATTCTCATATCACAGATTATAAAATCCATTGCTTCTTCAGGCGGTTTTATTATCACGCATCCTCCCATTTCAGGATCTTATGGGAATATCCTTGTTCCATAGGGATCACATGCCATCTTATTTCTCTTCTGAGGTTCATAGCTCCTGCCTGCAAGTATAATATAAGAATCTTGGTATCTCAAGTCCCCATGGGTTATCTAGGTTATTTGTTGTTGATCACCATATAGGCAGACTTCTCTAGAGACTTCTGGAGTTAAAGCCAGGATGTTGCTGGTTAAAATTTCTCAGGGCCGCATATCATGTGTTAACTTAATGGTGTGGCAAGGATTTCCTTTATTGAAGTGTCACTGAAGAAAATATTTTAAATGTACCTCTGGAATTAGGATGGCACATATGCAGTAGCTACAAATGTCCCTAAGCAGTCTCTCTTATATATTGGTTTTCAATCAGCACTAGTTCACATCAGAACTAGCAGAAACTAATTAGGTCAGATAATGTTTAGAGTGATATGTGAGTGTGCGTGGTGGGGTTGAAATTCCACTAAACAAAATTCACAGCAGTGATTCTAATTGGGAGCCATACAGCCCTATGGAGTTCATATACAAATGGGGTAGGGATTCATTCAGGACTTTGGGAGGCAAGGGAGGCATTTGGAATTTTAGGTAGTCTTTTCCACTTGCAATTACTTTTTTAAAAAGTTTTATAAAGTTTATTAAAGATCAAGTTATACATTGACAAACCATAGTGCACTTACATATAAAGAGTCATTTTTAGTATTCATAGTTG